TCAGGTAATTTCAGATGGTTTCCATGGGGGTTTCAGATGGTTTCAGGTGGTTTCAGGTGATTCCAACTTTTAGTAACTACGTATAAGCTCTTCACAATCGTATTTCTCGGCGAAGTAAAAGGTCGAGATACAGTTGGATTTACACATTTGTTGCTGTAGATATCGAACAGAGATTGTTTTTAAATTTGAGATAATGAGATAATTCGTTGCCGCAGCCAACTCTTCGGCATTTTTTTTCGTTACTTTCACGGTTCCAGTGTAGATGAATTCCAAAATATCTTCCATTACTGATCCCGAAATCTCTTCAAACCGAACGACCCCTTCCCGATTTTCCTTCATGTCGCTCTGAAGAAGCTTGCAAAAGAACGGACTCGCTGCGGAAAGAACATTTCTGTGAGCCTTGAACTCTTGGTCATCTTTCGTAATCAAAGTTATGTCGCATAAGTGGCCTTGTTTTCGTTGTATGTTGAGCCGTTTCATCATTTCCAGACAGAAAGGATTCTGTTCAGTGACAGTGATGGGTGGAAGGTCATCCATTGTCAAAGAATTGGCCTTGTTTTCGGGATTTGCAAGGGGAGAACTCTATGATTAGTAATATTGAAACACGAATGCCGAAATAAAAGAATTTTGCGGCACCCAGGCTTCCGAGCCCAGCTCAGGAGAGAGAGAGTCTGCACCAAGAGACAGACGCGGAGGTTGGGGACAGGAGAGGTACGGGAGATGGGAGAGGAAACTTCATTTGGTCACGGTTAAGATCGGTAGAGAAATGCTAACTGCAAATATTCCTTAAATATTAATGTAGAGTTTTCTGCAATGGGGTTGGAGACAAGATTATACTTGGGGAAGGTAGAAGAAGAGAGTAAGACAGGAGGTGATTCGAATTAAATACCTAGTTAATTGGCTCGTCCACACGGCCATGGGGCTTTTTAGAGTCAATGTTTCATTGAAAAGTTGAAAATAAAATTAAATTAAATTAAAAAAAAAAACAATTAAACGCAGATGCAGACCGAGAATTCCCTGACTTTCTTCCATATACTAGAGAGGAAATTTTTTTTAGTAAAAAAATACAGTCCCATAGTGCCTAAGAAATAAGGTGATAACCTTGAAAAAAAAATTAATATCAGCTGTGGGAGCAAAAATTTTTTTTTTCCAAAAGATTGGGTTAAAGCAGCTTCAGTTTGGTGAGTTATTTTTATCTCAGATGGAGTTTGGTTTTTTTAATCAATACTGGTAATTCATAGGAACTGTCAAAAGGATGATTCAGTCATCAAGTAATTGGAGATATCCTGAAAAGGAGAAAAATTAATCTGTAGATTCCCAGAAGCACTAGCAACGTTGAATTTATGACCTTGGGCTTCTGAATAAATGTTACATTTACTAAGTGCTTCAATTCTGATTTCTTGGTTCACTTGTTAGAACCACTTGGCCCACAGCTAGTGCAGAGCTTGATTTGTTAAATTAAAACTACATTTAAAGTAATGAAGAGTAAATATCAAGATCAGTAATTGACAGTTATGAAAGAAATGTAAATTGTCTCCTGTGGAGTCTCCAAAGGATCTACACTTGGTCTATTACTTGATGTGCTGTTTATAATGATCTATCTTCTGTTTTTCAAGATTATAACTTAATTAAGATCAACACATGCAGCATGCTGATGAGTCGGTTTTTTTTCTTTGGCATTGCCACAGATGGTTATGAAATCAATAAAGTCTTACCAAGGACCTTCAGTTTATTAGTTAAAGACGCTGGTAAATGGAATTTCAAGTATAAGTATGACTGTAATAATTGACAGAATATTTAGTACAATTTAAATAAAATATTATATTAGTCATTCATTTAATGTCACCAAGTGAGTTAAAAACAATATTTTCATGGATTACAATAAGGGAGCCTCCAGAAACCACAGGCCCATTGGAGGGAGGCCTTCTTACTTAAAAGAAAGAGAGAAAAAAACATATGTTTATGTAAGCGATATGCATTCATTGGGAACATTTCTATGTGAGTATCTGAGATTTTGTGCAAGGTAAGGCTAGATACTGAATTTTGAAGTCTTTGTTACTTTGCTAAGAGTATCACTGCTGTTTCAAAGGAGTTGGACCCCCTGTGGAGTTGGACCCCCTGTGGAGTTGGACCCCCTGTGGAGTTGGACCCCCTGTGGATTTGGACCCCCAGTCCAGTTTGAAAAAAATTGTTTCACCTTCCTGTGTATATATCATCTTCAGTTGCAATAAAATATTTGTTATCCAACTTTAAAATTATGTTATGAAGTTATGAAATAATTTTTTGCCCCACAAAATGCTATAGATTATATGTTACTATAATCATAATTATTATTATATGGAATTCAATAGAAGCACTGGGCAGCAGTAAAAGTAATAAAAAGACATTTGAGAATGACAAAACAGAAACCACTAATAGTAATAGTGATGAAAATCAACAAAAAGAAATAAGTGAATCCAGGCATTAGTGTTAGGTTCCCCCATCCAATATGCAAGGCTTCTTTTATCTTTATTTCCAAAAAGATAGGTGGGAGAGTCATTAGCTAATTATAATTATAAACCCTTTACACCCTTACATTAATATAAATATTTTCCATACTGTTCTCTATACATTTCCTAAGGTGCTGACAAGGAGAATTTGTTTAACAATCATGAACTTCTTTAGTTGGTGATCAATTCCTTTATTCTCCTGACCTTAGTGTGTGATTCAGGGTGATATTGTAAGGAGAAATTAGATGCTAGTCTTTTTTTCAGAGATCAAAGAGTTAAACTTGAGAAATTGCTTGTAATACATATGAAGGAAATAGTCATCTATTAAAAGAGTGACATTAAACATTTACCCCAAGCAAAGAACAGAGTAGCCTGCAGTGCCGGCGTATTTTGGGCGCACGAGCTGGAGTGCATATTTTCGTATTAGGCCGCCATCTTAGATTTGGTAACTGGGGAGGATTGGGGCGAAGAAATATTTGCCGAGGGAGTAGGTGTTAAGTGGAAAATGGGCAACGGGGGAGAGGGAGGGGAAGGAAAAAATACGCCCGCAAAGCCTGTGATTTCGCAAAACGCACCCTAGATTTAGAAATTAATTCTGGACACAAAAAATCTCCCTTTTTTAATTTTTACTGAATTGCGTAAAAAAAGTACTCTATCATTAAAGAAAATTGCTATGAAAACTTCTTCAACATCGTCTTCCAACGACGACTGGACACGAACCTGGTGAGAAGATATTCTGTTTTTCTTTTTTCTTCGAGTTTCTTGACTTTGAAATGTTCCATCGCATGCTTGACGCTGTCCTAGAAATGGAAATAAGAAATGTAATGACAAGCTAAAGCGTTGCTATGGTAATTTAGCCTGAGATAACAATATGTTTGTAACACTGTTAAAAATGACCAGGTATTTCTTTGATAAACAGTTTTCTACCAATAACAGTAACGCCTCAGTCGTAACTCCTTCATGAAAACGGCAATGACTAACGTTACTGCATGTCTCCTTAATCTGCCAGATCAAGAAAATATATTTTTTTTCTGTTATTTAGTTCCCCTTGCTTTTGATGTTGATTTGTTTTGAACCGCAAACATTAGGGCTTAGGTGTTGAAAGCTGTCAAAAGTTAAAAGGTGAGACAAATAATTCGCCACAAAACAAAATAACAAACCTTGTATAAGTTATACTTCCTTTTTTTTCCTCCTTAAATTTCTTGATTTCCAGTCTCTTTCTTCACATGCTTGATGCTGTGCTACGGCCGGAAAATAAAAAAATTTTTATTAGGATAGATGCATACGTATCTCTAACTGCAGATAAGTAATCTCCTTATTATAAAATTAAACACGATGAACCTGATAAACAAGTGAATTCTGGGACGACTTGACAAAACCCCTGATCACAAAGTCAAGTGGAATCATTTCGACATAGCAGCCTTATAGAAAACTGAACATCACTATAAAATTCAAACATTTTGCATTCAAGAACTAAAGCCAGATTTTAATTTCAATTTAAGCCGTGAGAAACGGATGATACTTTATGAGTTGTTTACATTTTCTATTCATCTTCTGTTGATGTCATAGATCTACTGTTGATGTCGATTTTGTTGCTGTAGATCTAGTTTTCAAAATTGCAGAGGTTTTGATCTTTGGAAACGAAAGTCAAGTCTAAATTTAAGATACCCAAGAACTTCTGCCATTTCGCCTGTGCAGTAAAGATGGGTACAGAGCTTTTGATGTTTACAAAAAGGGCTTTGTGTCGATCGAGAAGCTCTTATGATCATCCTTTTTGCCTCAGTGTGGGGTTGGAGACATGCAAAACCGTTTAAAACAAGCTTAATCTTAAAACGCTTTAAGCATGAATAGTTGCTGATGGGATCAAAGTAGATAGACGAGAGATATACAAGGACAAAAATAATCAATATAGTAAGGATAAAATTAAAATTTCTCGTTACCACTCTAAAAATCATGCGATTCAATAGCGACTGTCGTGGCGGATGATGTCTTCTTTCTACTGCGTGTAGCCTGCTGTTACTTCAGCTGTTAACTCTTAAATTTCATTTTCAAGGGCAGCATAGAGAAACAAGACCACAAGATTTCTAAAAAAATGTATTTGCCAGTAAGTCACTCACCTTGAGAAAGTTCAAAATCACAAAGTGACCGCCATCAATCCTTGACGTCGAGTTCCGACATCTAAACAACCTCGAAGAAACGCACGGTAGACTGACGACGCGAACAATATAATATCCAAGCTAATAAAGTTGAAATAACCTGTTTCCTGGCCTCCGAGTCGCCGCAGAAGGCGTTGAAGTTTCTTGTGGTTCGTAAGGTCTTTCTTCGTGCAAGAACTAAGCCAAAATATTAAAATTAATTTTGAAAATGATTTGTATCCACGTTACCTTTTGCCGACGTCAGTGACATTGAGCTTGTAGATCACTTCTCCACAATAAACTCCGCACAGACCACCGAAACTATGGCCCAGCTACTTCATTCTTCTTCTAGCGCCAGCCTTCCAAAGCCCACCTCTGGATCAGGAAGGCTTCGTTGCTTACTCACA